ATATATATATATATATATATATATATATATATATATATATATATATATATATATATATATATATAGTAAATGTTAAATAAATATTGGACAATGAATGAAATTGTCTCTTTCTTTTTTTTTTGTCAGTCCTTCATTGCAGTTTGAAGCTGCCTGGGCTTTGACCAACATTGCATCAGGGACGTCTGCACAGACACAGGCAGTGGTCAAATCCAGTACGTTGTTTGGACAGGCTTTCGTCTACTGGATCAGCCTGTTTTCACTTCATCAGTTCTGTGTGTAGCTGCTCGGTGTGTATGTTCTCTCATTCTCTCTCTCTGACTGTGTAGATGCTGTCCCATTGTTTTTGAGACTTCTCCAATCTCCTCATCAGAATGTGTGTGAGCAGGCCGTGTGGGCGCTGGGAAACATCATTGGTGAGTACCTGAGAAATGTCCTCACACTGTTACTGCTTCTGAATTTTGTAACTGAAAATGAGAATAAGAATTTAAATTGAAATGAGAGTTCTATGTGTAATATGTGAACGTTTGGATGCCATGCCTAAAGCAGCTGCTTCATGCATATTGGTGACATTGACGCATTGAAAGCTGTTGGTTCAACCAACATTAAACACCAAAGGAAGAATCTATCATTTTAAATTTGTATTTATTTATTTACTAATTTTGAAGGTTCACAACCCTTCAAAGCTGTACTTGCATTGCGCCACCTATAGTACTGGAGTATATTCACTTTGTTCAACGAATTTGTTTTGCTCTCTGTGCAAATAGTTTTTTTTTACCACATTTGAATTTCTTTAGTACGAAACTGTCTATAAAATTTAATTTTAAAATGTATCCAAAAAGGCTGGTCCATAATTTGAGAGTTGTAACAGCTGAGATGCTCATCAGAACTTAACACACGTGTTTGTTTCATGGGCCCTGTGTAGGTGATGGACCTCAGTGTCGAGATTACGTCATCTCGCTCGGTGTGGTCAAACCTCTCTTGTCGTTTATTAATCCTTCCATCCCCATAACCTTCTTGAGAAACGTTACCTGGGTCATTGTCAACCTGTGCCGAAACAAAGACCCACCTCCACCTATGGAAACGGTACAAGAGGTGAGGAGTGTGAGTGATTGTATGTGCATTTCGTACACTATTTCTTTTGAGTTGGTAAAAATCATTAACCAATCAATCAACAACTTCACCACACATTTTTTTGGTAATCTAAAATAATGCTTGGTCTATGGCTGTTTGACTTATTTATATGTATGAAGGACTTAATAAACTGGCATTTTATTCAGTAAAGCATCACTGCCACAATATCTTAAAGATTGTGTAAGATATTATGTGGCAGATTTTTTCTTCTTAGATTCACCCTCTCTCAATAATACGAGGTGTGTTTCCTTTCAATTAAGTGCAGCTCTGTGCAGCTATTATGCTGTGTAAACGACATGCCAATATTTGATCATTTTTCTTTCCTCTTGTCTGTAATGTGGAGGTGTAGCTTTGAGCTGAAAGGAACATATTCATGTACCTCCTGCTGCTAGGAAATCATTAGACTGTGTTCTCACTCTCTGTTATTTTGTGTGTGTGATATAACAACTGTTTCATAGATGGCAGGTCTAATGAATATTCTTGTTGTCCTACAGCTGATTTCATGTTTACATGGTGTTTGCTTATTCTCTCAGTCTGGTGGTTTAAAATAAAATATAAATTTCTAAAATTTCCGTTTTTCACTCACAGATTCTTCCTGCCCTTTGTGTACTCATATATCATACAGATATAAATGTAAGTACAAGAGATGAAAAAAAAATGTATTCTCTAAACCATAAGTGTTGCTCTTAATTACATAAATAGTGTCATAAATTTGGTTTTAGTTACTTGACTGGCTACTTTACATTATTCTTTAGTGATTATCACACAAAAAAGGGTATTCTGTTCCCTTGAGGGGATTTATTTTGCAATAACGATTGGCTGACATTTATCTCAACTATTATATGGCTTCTTTGTCAAATAAGTACTTTAACATAAAATATTAATTTTATTTTTAATACTTTATTTTGACAAATCCTCTAATAAGAAAGAAAAATGGTAAATTTAACCCCTCAGTGTTACAATTAACCAAGCAGAGAGCTGTTTAATAAATGGTAGAATCTGGGTCTGCATTTGCATTTAGAACACTAAAATCTCCTCCTCCTCCTAGATTCTGGTAGACACTGTGTGGGCTCTGTCATATCTGACAGATGGAGGTAACGAGCAGATTCAGATGGTAATAGACTCAGGTGTCGTCCCCTTCCTTGTTCCACTGCTCAGCCACCAAGAGGTCAAAGTTCAGGTAAAAATAATACCATGTATGTTAAATACCATTTATATACATAAAAAAAAACACACACACAAAGCCATTTTCTAAAAGTGTTTTTGTATCCTCTGCTCAGACCGCAGCGCTGAGAGCGGTGGGGAACATTGTAACAGGGACGGATGAGCAGACTCAGGTGGTGCTCAACTGTGATGTCCTCTCTCACTTTGCCAACCTGCTCACACACCCCAAAGAGAAGATCAACAAGGTGAGACAGACAACCCCCCCCCCTCCCCCCGATCCCATTTGTGTAAAATGTAATCAAGATGATGAAACCCAAACATTTACTTGCGTAATTTCATAAGTGACTCCAGAAATCTCCCCAGTCCCAGTGTAAGCGCTGTGGCACATGTTTAGAGTACATCTGTGATGTTTCTGTTCTTCCCTGCAGGAGGCAGTGTGGTTCCTGTCCAATATAACAGCAGGTAACCAGCAGCAGGTGCAGGCTGTAATAGATGCTGGTCTCATACCCATGATCATTCACCAGCTTGCCAAGGTAAAACTTTATCTGCATAGCCTGCTGTACACCCACTTTTCATTTTAGCATTCATTACAGCTCCTAATTTGAGAACTGCTACAGTATACTGTATATACTGTGGGGTCCAAAAATCTCGAGACAAGTTGTGAAAATGCTTCTATGTTGCGTTTTTCCTTTTTATATATATATATATCTATCTATTTTATTAATCTTATTTAATCTTGCTTTTAACATTTATTTTAAATCCAGACAATTTCTGGTGATCAGAATATCATAGAGATTTGATGGTGGGTCTTATTTGACTTGGGCCAATAAGCAATAAGGGGCCAATAAGTAACCACTTATAACACCCTAGAATCGGCATGAACCACTCATATTTTCTTGAGAAAATTAAAAACATTTGTTGTAATATGATTATTTCACTATTAATAATCTGTTGTATGGCATCAGAAATCAATTCTAGAGCTTGAATCTTGACCAGTGGTTCTCAACCCGCGGCCCGTCACAAATTCAAATGCGGCCCACCGTGCTGAACACAATAAAAAAAAATACTTTCAGTTTTACAATTCATTTTAGTTTTTACATTAATTTAAAAATGTACTAAATAAATATAAGCTATAGCCTAATGTTTTTATGTAAAATAATTTTGCTTTCATATATTATTTTCAGACATGAGCAGTACTCACATAGCCTAATTAACGTTATGCATTTAAAGTAACGACCAAGTGGCCAGTGGCAGACAGTGAGCATAAGTTTGATCAATTTAGCCTTCTCAAATCATCACGACTTGACTAAAATAAAATCTATAGATATAAAATAGTTCAAGCATATAACAATGTTTAAACGTTAAACCTAGATAAATGTGCGCTATATCCAATAGTTTGTGCAGAGAGTAGAAGCTGAAGCGCGCTTTGCAGGACATAGAGACGCCAGCGCGATCACTTGCATTTTTTTTCAGTGGATACACCGTCATTTTTGCTCATAAAGGTAAGAGTAATACATCATTTGTAACTGTAAAGGGTCTACTTTTATTTGTGTGCACTCACAATATCAACTAAACGTTGTGCTTTTATAAAATAATCAAACATGATGCGCTTTCTGCCGTCTCGTCTTGAACAGGCACGCTTCACAAAAATGAACCGAAACTCAGCGAATACATGCCTCACAGACATGATAAATATATCTATAGAAAGCTTTAAATTACTACTTAACGAAATAAAACAAATAAAAAAACACAAACTCTTTCATTATGATCATAATCTGTAAAGATGCACTTCTCTCTAAAGGCGCGTCTAGTGAAGAGATGGCGAGTCAGGATCGACAACTTCATCCTTGCGACACCGACTCAGAAAACAATAGTTTATTAGTAAATAATTAAAATATCTCCTTACTGTTTCCCCCCCGACACATTTATGGTAATTACTTTTGCAGATGCTTTGCGGCAATCTTAAGCCTATTGCGTGCATTTGAACGCAGAATTCTT